CCGTTGTGGGTGTTGTGCTGCTTGCTATCTATCCGACTTATAGGAAAGTTGGTCATGTATACGGACGGATACATAAGTATATGTATATGTATTCGACGCTTGCTATTGGCATTTCTCGACTGGGGGCTTAATCAAACTTTGCTCCACCGGCACTCCGCTGCACTCCGCTGGGAATCAGCTGAAGTCTGAGTTGGGCAAAGCATTTAACCCGATGAATTAATGTGAAATTCTTGTCTGTCACAGGAGGCATGCTCTCCACACACCTTCCAGCTATGCCACACACACTCGAGAGAGAGAGAGAAACCAGAGCGTAACAAAAAGTGCTGCATAGCTCAGGGCGCTGGCTGCATATATGCAAATGAAACAAACATTCCACACATTCCCCCAGGCAGGCAGGCAGGCAGGCAGGCAGTCAGGCAAAGGCCATAAAGCGTCAAGCCCCAGACAACACACACACAAAAAGCGTTAAGGTTTTCAACCCGTTTTTCGTTGACCAAATTAAAAAGCCATTTAGGTTGTAGGCCCACCAAAGCGACAAGAGACAAATTTCCATTCGAAGTTACCTCCGAGGTGGCAATTATACATCGATGGCCGAATAATTTGGCTGGAGAAAAGCGAGCACAACCGGTCCGGGGCTAATCAAAGTCTTTCGTTTCATTTCGATTATGCGACAAGCGACAGCAGTTCGTCTGTTGAATTGATCCGAACCACGGGTCTTCGCCACTGTGAAGCAGATCTTAACGATTTTGAACGGCACTAAATCTTCAAGGACAGGCGCACCAGCTCAGCAGCAGCTGAAGTGAGTTAATCATCCATGATTTAACGATTCGTAGACCATTTAATTGCCATTCAGACCCAGACATGACAACCGATCGGTGATTAAAACTAAACAAGACAAAGACAAAGAGAAACAACAGACACACTTTTTTTTTGGTGTTATTCACTTTTAACGACTTGACAAAGTCATTTAAAGAATTTCTTTGGACAATTTTTGACGCACCAACAAGTTTTGCCATCAATTGGAAATGGAACTGGCATCAACTGGCACCTGTAAGTGGTGGGTGGGCGGTAGCTGGGGGTAGCTACCAGCTGCGGGTGTGCCAGCAGCAGCACGCGCCATTTCGTTGGAAATTGAAAACGTGTCCAACATCGAGACATCAATTTTTAAACAGAAGTAATCACTTTGTAAACGTTGCCAACGGGACCAACAGCAGATACTCGCACATACAATATATCCATCCTTTGGGGGTTGACTTTGGCTAAGCCAGAGGCCAGGGACCAGGGCCCAGGGACCAGAGTGCTTTTGGTCCTTTAGTTCTTGTGGCTGGGGGGACCAGACCCCTGGCACCCGCTACCACTGACAAGTATGCCTCAAATTTCTGGGGCTGTCTGCTCGGCGCTTGATTTCCAAATTTCTGCACGTAACCACGTAAAGTTGCAGAAATTTTTATACAATTTGTTGCATGCATAATTCACGAGGACCAAGGGCAGGCATTTGCTGCTGCTGGATTTATGTGGGTGTGGCGTGTGTCTGGCCAAGTAACTTTTCTGGCTCCGGAATTATGATGAGCCAAAGCATCAAAGAGAAGTTCCCCCTTCCCTGCTGCAAGGGAATGGAAGGGCTTAGCTCGTAAGTTAGATGAGAACTCAATTCAATTTGATAAAAGTGAAGCAGACATAAAGTACTGCGAAAAATCATTTAAAAGATACCAAATCCAAATCCAAAACGAAACAGCAACAAACACTGAGACACTGAGAGACAGCATTAAACAACATTAAGACCCTGTTAATCTATTGAAATAAGCGCCACCATTTGTCTATCGAATGCCGAATCTGAAGCTTTATGGAGAGCGTACTCCTACCCCGCCATTCCATTCAGATATCCCCCAATTTTAATTGCCATTCCGGCAATGGCTTTACAGTCAGTCACACACACTAAAAACTGTCAGAAAAAAGCAGCTAAATAAGCAAAATTTATTAAATTCTCATTTATCAAACATCATAAATCAAAGTGTCTGTGTTGTATTTATTTCGAATGATCTATCAACAGTTTGCCATTTGGATGGATACCACGCTCACCCCTTCGCTCTCTCCCTCTCCCCGTCTCCACTGTATCTGTATCTTTTATGACTAGCTAATTTGGTTTGTTTTTGATTTTGATTTGTCAGTTTATTGTTTCTGGCTGTCAATGATGATGATGCTGCTGATGCTGCTGCTGCTGCTGCCTGTGCTGCTCCTCTTCTTTCACGAGAATGGAGCTCAATGAACTATAAAAAACTAATGTTTCAGCGGCAGACAGGCACGCCGTGCCGTGGTGCCGTGCACTTGACAAGTGAATGAAAGGCTGAATGATGTCAATCTATCATGCAGACCGCCCCGCCCCCCCAGGGCTGTGTCGCCACGCCACGCGACGCGTCGCGTCCGTCAACTTTTACTTTCAGTGTGACCTTTGCTAACTGTCAAAATTCGCTGTCGCCTGCAATGTGTCAAAAGTGTGGCAGTAGCTGTTGTTACTGTATTTGCATTTGACAGCTCCTGTCCGGTGTCCGCTGTCTGGTGTCCGTTCCCCACTGTCCGCATCATTTTTCGCACTTTTGCAGCAGAGGCATGGGGCAGCGACTGCGACGGCGACGACGACGGTGGCGGCATCGAGCACAAAACGCGGCTTTGAACTACTAAATCATTTTTGACAGTTGGCAGCGACGCCGGGGAAAGCCCCAAGCAGCGCAGTCGGCGTCTGTTTTGCTGGCCCTGGCTCTGAATATACATGTGTGTCGGTGTCGGTGTCTGTGTGTGCGGACACTCTTTAACCATGACCTTGAAAGCCGTTACACACACATACACATTGTTGCTGCTGCTGCCTTTGTTTATGCAATAAATTAAAAGCAATAATTTTTCATCTTGAGGCAGCAGCGGCAACGGCGGCTGAAGCAACAGTTGAAAGTTCGCCCGCTGCGGCGCAGCGCATTAATTTTGTGTAAACTTCAACAAACACACACAAACACACACTGCCACACAGCCATGCACACAGATACTCCAGAGAGGGACAGGGACAGAAAGCAGCAGCAATAGCAGCAGCAGCAGCGGCAGCGGCAAAAGTGATAAAGCACCGCAATGGCAATGGCAGCGACGTCGACATTGTTTTTAGCTCGCTGCGACTGCGCTGCTCTGCTCTGCCGCTGCTCCCTTAGCAATAAATACAACAGCAGCAACAGCAGCAACAAAACAGCAACAAGAGGCAGCAGCAACAGAAACAATAATTCAACTTGTGGCAACTTTGGCACTGTGCTCCACATACCACACGGCCGGGTCCGGGCCCGGGCAGGGCACAGTGCAGGTTCAATGGACGCTTTGCGCCTGCGCAGGGCCCAACAAATTGCAGCCAGCAGCTGTCTCTCTCTCGCTCTCGCTCTCTTGCTCTTACGCCATTAATTCTAGCGCTTGCCGGCTTGTTTGACAGTTCTGACAGACGATTATTTAAAGTTGTGCTTAAATGCTCGCCTCTCGCTCTCGCTCGCTGTCTCCTGCCCTGTCTGGGGCCTGCGATTGGGCCTGGGCCTGGCCCTGACCCCCCGGCTGTCTGCACCCCCCCGCCGCAACCAGGGGAAAATAATACAAATTACACTTTTGGCATATTGTTCTGCGGGGCTCCGTCTGGTCTCATCGCCCAGCCAGCCTACAAGCGAACCACTTGTTTCTGTGGGTTAGTGGGTCTCGCTAGTGGGTCTTCCGCCTTCGCTCCACGCTTCCCGCTCCCTGCTCCGGAAGAATGCGGAATCGGGGAAAAACAATCGAATTGAAGGCGTTCGGGCAATATTTCTCAGATATTACCGCGCAGGTTTAACGATTTAAATGCCCCGGCACACCATTCTTCAATTTAACGCATCATAAAGATGAGGGAAAACTGTGTCCTACAGCGGGGACTTTTATGAGCCAAGAAGAGGCGGCTGACGCTGACTGGTACTGGCACAGGTATTGGTATTGGTATTGGCAGTGGGCATTTCTTAGTCGGGACAAGAACCCCCCACACTGTGGAGCGCGCGATCATAAATCAAATTTCAATTCACGTGCCGTTCGTTCGCCCGTCCATTTGCCTCATGTTCATTAATGAAAGCGAAATGCTTATACGCTTATATAATAATGCCACAAACGTCGGCTGGGCAGGCAGTGGGGGGCATGGCCATGACGCAAGCGTCCAACTATCAGCCCTCGGACATCATCAAAACTGCCACTGCGCACAGCACAGCAGAGCAGCGACCAGAACTGAAGAGCGCTGAACAGATTTTCACATCAAAAAAATTGGCACAAGTTCATCATCATTGTGATGGTTGGTCCCACTGAATGGGGATGACTGCTGTCCGTCTGGGGGGCGTGGCCACATGCACGTTGAAAGCTCGGAGACCGCCGATGTTCAATTTATGAGCCGCAGACAGTCGCCCGCCACTGGCCACTGTCCCTATCCCTATCCCTGAGCTGGCCTGGCCTGGGCTGGTCTGGCCTTTGTTTCCTTTGCTTTTTCCCCCGTTTTAATCGATTGTAGTTTTTAATTAAAATTTAACTTTATAATGATTTTTTATCAGCTGTCCCAAGTAGCGGCGGCGGCTGCCTTCGCAGCAGTCTGTTTAAGTCTAAATTAAAAAGAAATTTCTCATCTTGAATGGAGCATACGGGAAGCAGAACAGGAAGCCGCAACCGTGCGCAAAGTGGGCGTGGATCGGGCCGGAACGTGATCGCGAACAGGATTAGTGACAGACATCAGAGCCCCCTTCCCCCCGCCCATCCCAAACTGATCGATCGATGCCAGCAGCTAACTTGGGGCCAGCTTTGATTGATGTGCGAACTGGAGCTCAGCACGTGTATGCATCCTGTCTCTGTCGGTCAGCTGTGCTGTTTTGGCTCAGATCTAATCTAATCTATCTTCTAAGTAATATGTAGTATATGTACGTAGTATCTACTCTACACGTAATGTGTTAAATGACTTAATGTGGAATGTGACTTACCATCATATGTTAGTTCTGAAGGATTGAGTGATGATAAGAACTTACCATCTGAAATGGGAAGAAAATACAGCAAAGGGTTAGCCAAATGTATATTTATTTCAATTAGGGTTAATAAAGGTTCATAGAGGGGCAGGTAGAAGGTGTTGTGGTGGCATCATTGGTTGGCCGCATTCATTAAACTAATTACCAATAAATAATATTTACGGATTATACGCAAATGTTTTTATAAGCCCAAAAACGGCACTCAAATGGGGATTTTTGTATTTTTTTTTTCTTTTAATTCGATACCCTGGCTATACACAGAGGGTACTTCTGTTTTGCGCAATCCCCTAATTTCCGTTTAACCAAAGGATATTCAAGGCTTCGTGTTCATCCAATCGTTTTGTGTGTTTCTCACTCTTTATCCATAATTGCAGTATTAAAACGCTTAATTACAACCCTTTTATTTTGGTTCGTGTTGTCTATAGTTTTTGTGTGGCTTTGTTGGGCTTTTGTCTGTCACCTTCCTGCAATTTTTGGTTTTTCCGCCCCCTTCCACGCTCTTTATTCTAGCGCTTTTTTGTTGGTTTAATTTTGTTTTGTTGCTTGATTAATTTTATTATTGTGCAGCATTTAATTTAATACGCATTGCGGCGCATAATGTACAATAATTATTTTAAATTCACTTTGACAAGCACGCACACGCACTCCACTCCACTCCACACCTCCCCTTCTTGCCTAACCGCTCTCATTTCCCTGTTAATGTTAATTTAATATTTTTACATTGTGCTCGTGTTTTAATTTTGCCTGCGGTTTGCCATGTTTGTTGCTGAAAATGTTTAACTTTTTCATTTTCATTTAATTTTATTTTTGCTTTTTCTTTTTGTTATCATAAAACAAAAATGCAAATTAACGCAGAATCCTCTTCGGCCGCTTCATCTCTTTTTGTATTGTTAATTATTTATGGCTGTCAGGGTGTTTTTTTTTACGTTTTACGTTTTGTGCTTTATCTTTTTTTTCGAGCATTTTATTTGCACGCATTTTATTTCGATAAATTATTAAATTTGTTGTTATTTTTACTTTCTGACATTTAATGGCATTTTAAGGCCATAAACATTTGCAGCCACTCGTATACTTAAGCCGAAAAGTCGAAATAATATCGCATTAAATGTTTCATTTCGAATAAGCAAAGTGTTAATCGAGAAATCGCTTATAAACTGTTGGAAACTTAAGCCCCGACCTTTAAAGGGATACTTTTATCCTACCCTACTGAGAATAAGTATTTCCATGAGCATATATCGATCAGCCCTGATTTCCGTTCGTTTTTACAATGCTGTAAGTTTATTTTATTTATTTAATTTTATTGTATTTTTATCGTATTCCTCAACTTGATTTGTTGTAAATAAATCAACCATAATTAACCTTCTGCAGCGCGTAGAAATAATTTTACTGTCAATGTTGTCACCACTGACAGTCGAACATCTTAAATCATTTTGTGGCTGTTCTTTTTGTGTTTTTCGTATTTTGTTGTTGCCGTTGCTGTTGGGCACAAAACGAAATTAAAAAGCGCAACAACGACGGACACTAAACACGGCTAAATGATCAACGCTCCCCGAAAATGCCAAATGCGCCAAATGAAATGCCAATTTCGCACTCAATTGGAGGGCGGATCGGAGGCCCAGAGCGGTACTGGGTACCGGGCTCTCGACTGGCGACAAAACACCTTTCGGAAACACAGAGAGGGTCTTGGACTTTGACTGCGACTGGGACTGGCACTGGGTATGGCACTGGGACTCTGTCTCTGTTTCTGTCCTGGTCTCTCCCTGATGCGTAGACGTCAAAATGCCGTGGTGGCAATTAAATGCCTTCGACGCTCATTGCCAACGCCTCAGTCAGAGGTAGAGTCAGGCGCAGGCTCTGGCTCTGGCACTGGCACTGGCTCAGAGTCCAAGTCCCAGTCGGATACCCAGTCTTGAGCTGCTTGAGTGTCTTTGTCCTGAGGCTGCCTACTCTACTCCTCCTCCTGCTCTTCCTGCTCTACTCTTCCACCTTGAAGTCGGGCCACAAATAACGCCCAAATATGGCGCAATTTCATTCGCAACGCAACGAATCGATTGCCGATGGATGAGACGATGCCACCGCTGCTGCTGTTGCTGCTGTGGCTGCTGCTTTTGCTGTTGCCTCTGTCGATTCATTTCAATTCGTTGCGTTTCGATTTATTTATCACCTGTCGTTGAAAATTGAAATTGCATTCGCTTGGGCCATCACCCATCGCCCATCGCCTTCGCCCCAACCCCAACCCCAACCCCAACCAAAACACAGTCGCAAACCCAAAAGAGAACTCAGTGCCAGACCCAACAACCCGAGTCCGCTTTTTGCTTTAGTTTCGTTTCGTTTCATTTTCTTGAGGGCCAGGTAATCATTGTCAACAATTAATGAACAGCCATTGGTGGGCGTGGCAGTCATTTAATGAACAACCAGCAAGAGGCCAGCCGCATTTTGCTTTTCCTTTGGTTTATTTTGTTTCTCTTTCTTTTCTTCTATTTTTATAAATTAGCAGAGAGGCCTTTTCCTATTAGAATGGCCAAAAAACTCATCAGCATAATGTAAGATGTTGTGGCTCGGGGCGATAATGAGCTATAATGGAGTTGGCCAAAGAGCGGGAAAAGAGGTAATGGAGTGGGGGAATGGAGACTGGCGGCTGGCGACTGGGAGAGTCAGGTTCGGAGAGGTTCTGAAACTGGTTCGAGTCTTAAGAGCTCTTAGTGCCGCTGGCTTGGCTGGCTTCACTTTTTCCCTTTTTTTCCCCCTCTTTTTGCATATTTAAAAGCTTGATTCAGTTCAGAGCGAACATTGATCGACTAATCAGCAAAAGGCAAAGAAAGTGCAGACGGGGGGCGAACAGGACGAGCAGCCGCAGCACCAGCAGCAGCCTTATCAATGCACTTTGCCGTGCTACACGTAAACTTACTTTAAACGCGCCAAACTTTTCATTCCAGATAAGGAACCGAACCCAAAGCGAATCCCTCGAACGTTCTCCTCTCCATTGATAGCATTTTGCATTGATTTCAATCATTGTTTATGTACTCTGAGTCTGCTGCTGCTGCCCCAAGGATGTGCCATGCACTTGATTGGCGGGGACTGGCAAAAGTTGGCAAAAGTCAGAGGGAATCATTAGACCAGGCCCAAAGCAAAGCAAAGTAAAGCAAAGCAAAGCTGAGCGATGTTCGTGCCGTGCCGTGCCGTGCCATGCCGGCAGCGCGCGCTTCAACGCTTTGCAGCGGCCACAAGTTGGGGTCTGGTCTGCGCTCTGGTGCCTGGGGTCTGCGCTGCTCTGCTCTGCTCTGGTCTGGTCTTGTGGCATGCGGACTTTTGTAGCAGACAAAATTGTCGACAAATAGTTTACACAAGCATGAAATTTTGCTGCCCCGACGAGCAACAAAAGAATGTTGTTGCTGTACTCGTACTCGTACTTGCCGCAGTTGTTGTTGTGGTTTAGTTTGTAGTTGTGGCAGGAATGCAGGCAGCAACATTTGCTTGCAGCGTTTCAGCGAAGTCAAGCCGCATGCAATACAAACCTATTGGCAAATGTCAGCCAAAGAAAGCAGCAGCAAACAACAGAAAAAAAAAGGGGAAGGGTGGGCTGGGTGCAACATGATATCCTCCTCTACCCTGTCCCGCTGCACCTGCCACAAAATGTTTAATTAAATTATGTGAGGAGCGTTGCCAGAGGGTGCGAGAGTGCGATATGGAGCCTGAGGATTATGCATTGTTATGCGGTCATTAATTCATATCAAAGGGGTAATTGAAAACCGCATAAATTAAACAAAAAGCGCGAAAAAACAGTGCAATTATTTGCGCTTTTTTTTAATACGGCAGAGCATCATTTTTTCGCCGCTGTTTGGATTGCATTTGAGTGTGTTATCCGCTGGGGAATAAGCGCGCGCGGCTTTGACATTTGGCTGCATTATAGTTTAATCTTATTAAAATATTTATTTTATTAAAATATGCATGCAATTTGTTAATTTAACTGCTGCGTTTGCTGTCCTCCCCACCCATTGGCCAGACAGATTGCTTGCTTGCCTGCTGCACCAGCGCCACCCACAATTTTATTTATGCGGCATTTTTCTTTTTTTGATACCCTACGAGAGGTTCCGCCATGAAGTTTTTATGTGCACAGAGACCAATTGAAAAAAGTCTAAAACTAGCAACACGTTTCATTTATATATTACTTCCCCTTGTATGAAATTAATATATCAATAAATTCCACCAGACAGCATAGGGTATGCGGAGCTTCGACGATTCTTCGTTGCTGGTTTGGTTTGGTTTTTTTTTAGTTGGTCGTCACGGATTTCGTGTTTTTATTGTGGCAGCCACTGCGCTTAATTGCATTTTGTATATGAATTAATGAATTTTTTATCAGCAACAATACACCTACATACGTATACAATACACACGGACAGATGTGCCATATAAGCCTCTCTATATGCGAGTTTTATTTATTTGATGTTTTTTTCATCCACTTTTTTTGTGTGTGTTTTTTCTTGTCATGGCGCCTGATAATGCAATGAAAACAACAAATACAGCAGCCGCAGAGCTTCAATATTTTTATATCTCTTTTTTTCCAGCTGCGAATATTTAATTTCATTTGTGGTCTGACCAATAAGGCCAACCAGAGATAGATAGATAGAAGGTAAATCTCTCCCAAAGCCAAACTATGCCCCAAGAGAACTATCTCCAAGGACTGTGTGCACTTACCATATCATTAACAACTTTATACGTATCGGGCAGTTAGGATCTTGTTATAGATCTAGATTCCGCAGAAAAAGGGTTCGCTATGGGCCGGAAAGTTTCTGTTTCATTAAAATGCAATTAATATAGGCTTTCAGCACATTCTGATGACTTTGGGGACTTGGCCAGAGGCAAATTACCCAACTAACTTGGCCAACTCGGCCAGTTCGGCCCCGAAGGCAACAAATTAGGGTGCGCCTATAATTAATAACATTTTCAACAAACACATATAGAGTGGGAACCGTTTCATTAACTTCACATTACACATTACACGAGCC